TTGTTTTAATCTAATAAATTGTTGTGTATTGATGGTGTACTAAGCTAACATGCTAGCTAGCTCTAGGTGCACCTGCCACCCATCTTGTCATGATTCTGCCATCATGTCTTAGATTTTTCCTGGTCTTGTGGCAGGATCATGACAGACCCATGTTTTGTGTACAAGCGCATGGCCTGTGTGGGCCATGTGCTTGTGTTGTCTCGTTACATGTCCCCGCCCCCTTGTTATCCTCGTCTAGTGCTTCATTGTCTAGTCAGTTTCACCTGTCCTCGTCATTAGTGTTCCCTATTTTATCCCCTTGTGTTTGCTGTCCTGTGTCGGTTCATTGTTTGACGTTGCATGTTTTAAGCTGTAAGTAATTCTTTGAGTAAGCTGTTATTTGAGAAGAGTCTGTTCATGTTGTAGTTTTGTTCCTGTCTTAGTTTCAAGTCTTAGTCTGGTGTGTTCTACCCTGCCTTGTTTTGCCCCCTCGTGGGTTTTATTTTCCTGTTTGTCACAAGTAAACCCTTTGCACATCATCTGCTGTCTGCTATTGGGTTCATCAGCCAAGCCATATGACAGAATGAACCGACCTTCAAGAAACCCAGCAGACAGCAAGCCTATTTATCCTACTCTGCAGCCGTCAGACCCCGAACAATGGTGGCAGTCGGCCATCACCGACAGCCTGGAGGGCAAGCTTCCTTTCCCTCCTCAGGGAGAGTTGACCCTGAGGAAGTACGCCCAGGTCGTGGACAAGAGGAGGTTTTTCTTGCCGGAGATTCTGGTCAACCGCTACTTCATCGCGGGTCTTAACGTCCATCCTCCTCTAGCTGAACGTGAGCGACTGGTCAGCCGCCCGTTCCACAAGATGGTGGACAGTCTGTCACAGAGGGAGCTGCAGGGTGCTACAAGGTCTTCATCTCCCGCTACACTTCCTGTGATCCCTGAGGGTCGTCTGTTAGCCGTTGCTACACTTGGGGACCAACCCAGTCTTGCCGCGACTCCTGAGACACCTTCCACGTCCATCAGTCTTCATGGTAAGCGTGGAAGGCACCCGTCATGGGAGTCAGCATCAGAGTCTTCCTGCCCGGAATCCTCCTCGCCTGCAGTGAGCTCACCTGTTCCGGTAACAGTTCCTGTTTCACCCCCCTCTCCGGTCACTAGTCTGGCTACCTACTCCGCCCCACGACCCAGGAGGAAGAAGAGGAGGAAAGGACCTTCTGGTTCTCCGTCTCTACCCCCTCCTGAGCCCGTGATGGCTCTCCAACCCGCCGCTGAAGTCGGAAGCGCTGTTCCCTGTCCCGCTGCTGTAAGTGTGGCTCCGGTTGTTGCAACAGGAGACGCCGTTCTACAACCTGCTGCAGAAAGCGCCTTTTCCCAGTCGGCGTTGGGGAGATCCATTCCAGAGACTTGTACTGTGAATGTCGTCTCTGAGTCTTCTGCCGTGTCTGCAGAAGAGAGAGCAGCAGTCGATTCCGCTGCAAGGGCGGTGGTACAGTCCGTTTCGGCTCATCAGGAGATGCCAGTCATCATCGCTGCCAGAACCCTGTCCGAGTATTTATCCCGTCTGGCCAGAATTCTTGATGTCCCAGTCAGTCCTGTCTCGTCCCCAGTCCCTGTTTCAAATGCTATACAGAGCACAGATCCCAAGCCAGCTGCAGTCTTCGCTGATCCCAAGTCTGCTACACCGAGCACTGATCCCAAGCCAGCTGCAGTCTTCGCTGATCCCAAGTCTGCTACACAGAGCACAGATCCCAAGCCAGCTGCAGTCTTCACTGATCCCAAGTCTGCTACACCGAGCACAGATCTCAAGCCAGCTGCTGTCTTCACTGATCCCAAGCCTGTTGCACAGAGCACCGTTCTCAAGTCATCTAGTGAGAGTTGTGATCGCAGTCCAACTGCAGTGAGCGCTGGTCCTAAGCCAGCTGACTTAAATGCTGATCCCAGGCCAGCTGCCACTAAGACTGCATCCCCGTCTGTTCTGGTCTCCCCTGGCTCCTCCAATTCCCGGTCTGTTTCCCCATTTGTCCCTGTTCCTGGACTTCCGTTTGTTTCCCCTGTCATGGCTCAACCCCGGACTGTTTTTCCCTTGTCCCACACCACTCCTCCCAAGCCCGCTCGGTCCTCTCGTCCTAAGCCCACTCCCTGTGGTCCCAGGACCTCTGTCCCACCCACCCACCCTGGACTGTCACGCAAAGACATTGTGTTTCCTCCACCCCCTCTGCCCTGTATGATGTTTTTGATGTTTCACCCCAATCCTTTCATTGTTTATTCTTGTATGCCCTTATTATTATTTGTTATGTATTGTTGGTTCTTGTCTTTGTCCCAGTCGGTCTTGTCCCATGTTTGATGTCTCCTTGAGGAGCGTCTGGAAGCCGCTCCTTAAGGTGGGGGTTCTGTCATGATTCTGCCATCATGTCTTAGATTTTTCCTGGTCTTGTGGCAGGATCATGACAGACCCATGTTTTGTGTACAAGCGCATGGCCTGTGTGGGCCATGTGCTTGTGTTGTCTCGTTACATGTCCCCGCCCCCTTGTTATCCTCGTCTAGTGCTTCATTGTCTAGTCAGTTTCACCTGTCCTCGTCATTAGTGTTCCCTATTTTATCCCCTTGTGTTTGCTGTCCTGTGTCGGTTCATTGTTTGACGTTGCATGTTTCAAGCTGTAAGTAATTCTTTGAGTAAGCTGTTATTTGAGAAGAGTCTGTTCATGTTGTAGTTTTGTTCCTGTCTTAGTTTCAAGTCTTAGTCTGGTGTGTTCTACCCTGCCTTGTTTTGCCCCCTCGTGGGTTTTATTTTCCTGTTTGTCACAAGTAAACCCTTTGCACATCATCTGCTGTCTGCTATTGGGTTCATCAGCCAAGCCATATGACACATCTGTGATTTTTTTCTAAATATAAATGCTTATTGAAATGTTTATTCTTTTTTTTTTTTTTCAAAAAGGGCACTTGATATTTAAATGTGAAGTCAGAACTTTGATAAAAGAAATGAGGGAGAATTGAAACAGTGACTACGTTTACATGCAGACAATTTTCGGGTTAAGGTCACTATTCGGGTTTCTGAAACATTAGGAATAACCTGTTTACATGCGTGAGCAGAGAGAGTTTCTCCTGTATAGATGGAATTGCAATATCCCGATGTAAACCGCGACGCGCACTCAAAAGACCAAGATTCCTTGTGAATAGAACATGCGCAGAACACAAATCACTTATGGGGATATGCCGATATCCGTTTACATGACCAAAAATTCGGGTTAGAAAAGGGATACCCCAGGTATAATATATATGAGCATATTCGGGTTTTTGCCAGTGTTTACATGGCCGTTCACGACCGGGTTATTGCTAATATCCCGGTTTTGAACGGGTTATTGGCTGCATGTAAACGTAGACAGTGTGAATAGCCAGTCATTAGTGATTATAATGCAGACAAAGAAAAGTATATTTAGAGTCAATAGACTGAATAGATGACAATTACAATAAACACTAGTCTGCATTTTAGAGTCTAATCAAGTCATATGATCTTGAAAAACATTTTACTAAATGCAGAGTTTTAGACTTATCATCTTCAAATTTTAATTTTCAAATTTGCATTTCTAGATTGATACAGTGCAGGCTTCAATTTTATTTTCATAAAGATGTTTCATAAAAATAAATTTCCAATAACTTTACAAAACTTTAAAGCCATTTATAATTTTTTTTTTTTCATCATGACTAATTAATTCTACATTTTTACAATAAACTGCCAGGTTTCAGCTTTCAAATGAGATCATACCCAGCTGGCATTTTAACGTTGAGTTACTGTTGAATCAACGCAGGTGCCAGTGTTGGATAACCGTTGAATTTTGAGGTTGTAGCCTACAAATAATGTTGATTTGACGTAACTCAAACTCAAAAACTGTTGATATTTCTATGTTGAATCCATAGTGAGTTAACAACACCACTTCAACTATATGGTGTTCAACGTTGTTTTGACGTTGAATTCATGTTTGTTTTTTTCATAAACTGACATTATTTCAACAACATTTAAACTTTTAATGTCAGTCGAATGCCCGGTTGTGCTTTTACTACAAATGGTTCAAGAACTGTATCTGTTTCAGATTGGGTATGCCATTTCTTTGGATTTTTCAAAAGTGGGGTTGCAGCTTAACAGGTTAATAAAATCTGTTTTGGGACTAGCAGAGTTCTGAAACTTAAAGCATTTATATAAAGACTGCTTGTTTATCATTGTTCAAGATGAACACTCAAGTAAGCCAGATGTATGTTGTAGGTCAATGATTAATTAAGATGCTCTAAAGTTATATTGTTGTATTACCTGTTCACTTATTGATCAAAATATTGTTCATATTATGGGCAGTCTTGGCCTAATGGTTAGAGAGTCAGACTGATAACTCAAAGGTTGTGGTTTCGATTCTCTATACCAGCAGGAAATGACTGAGCAGAGAGAGTTTCTCCTGTGTAGATGGAATTGCAATATCCCGATGTAAACCGCGACGCGCGCTCAAAAGACCAAGATTCCTTGTGAATAGAACATGCGCAGAACACAAATCACTATGGGGATATGCCGATATGCGTTTACATGACCAAACCCCAATCACTCCTCGGGCGCCACAGTAAAAGTGGCCCCCCACTGATTTGGGTGAGTGTTCACGGTTGGCAGTGTGTGTTCACTACTCACTACTCCTAATGTGTGTGCACTAATTTGGATGGGTTGAATGCAAATGACAAATTCTGAGTATGGGTTACCATACTTGGCAATCACTTTCTCTTTTTCACTATTGTTCAATATGTAAAAAGTTAATGTTAAGTTTTCCCCTCAAGTTCTCACAGACATCCTAGCACAGTAACCACAGGTTAATGTACTTCATCATTTACTATGGACATGTTTCACTCATGTTGTCCAAATACGTTTTACATAATGTAAAACCTAAAAAACAAAAATGTATTAGATATATTTTATTCTGCTTACTGTCTTGTGTGTGTGTGTCTGTCTGTCTGTGTGTGTGTGTGTGTGTGTGTGTGTACAGAGAGAAGTACTTGCCTACTTTGCTGCAGATAGAGGGAATGCTAAAGCTTTGGTTCCCTCAAGTGACTGCTCAAGATTCTGTGACACCTAACCCTGCTGACTTTTCACTTCGAAACATTTCCACCCTTGGCAAAAGCAATACCACTCCTCCACACAAGCACAAAGACCAATTACATATTCCAGTCAAGGTTCGTGTAGATGCACACAAGAGACACATATCAGTTCAGTTGGTGTACTCCATTTACACTATGTGAATTTGTAGACATTGATGCCCTTTCTTATTTTCTTGGCTCTTGCAGAAGCGAAGATTGAGCTGGTCAGACACAGACTCACCCTCCTCTTCTCCTCCTGTGGTGTGTAAGCGCACCAAATGTTGTGAAGAGGACCCCTCTTCAGGGACCCCTTCCCTTTCCTCACACATGAACCAATCAGACAAGCGAGTTAGTGAAACCCTGGAGCACAAGGTCATCCGGTGGTCAGGTTCAAGGCTGACATGGGTGCACATTGCTCCAATCTTCTCCCCACCTAAATCTGGTCCCTCTCATGAAGGTGGAATGGCTAATGATAGAGAGAGCGGCAGAGTCCTCCTTCCAGTTTCCCCTCTCACCAGCAGGAGCAGTCCAGCCACGCAGGACAGCTTCATCTCTTCCACCACATCTTTTTCAGAGCCAGATGGATGCCAATGCCAGTCTGTGAATTTAGAGACAAGAAGTCCATTGCAGGAATACACCCAGATCCCACAAATCACAACAAAGCCTTCAAACTTAGAAGAGCAAAGCCCTTTGCAAACCTGATGCAGAAAAACCAAGCACAACCAACCGGATGGGATGTTGAATTGGTTGTCTATTACAGTGATTGAAAAAGTATTTGTAAAGAATAAGTTTAAACTCAACATATAAGATTTTTTTTAATTGATTGGGTTGAAAATTGGCTGTTTTTGAATTAGAAATGACTATGAGAGTATCTAAATTAAAGGTGACGTGTGTGAATTTGGTGTCACTGCCATCACCAAATAGAACTGCAAAAATAATCATTTAAAAAAGGTTTTCAAACACTCCCCCATCAGGAATTGGTCAGCCAAACAGAAAGCCTTGCTCAAAAATCAAGGTATTGGTTGAGCCAGTGTTGTGCTGGACAGGATACTCAAACAGTGTTTGCATGATAATATTCTAACATCCAAAAAATTACACAGTTCACCTTTAAGGAAATTTTAAATCATGCAGATGTTCATTGACTTCTGGAGTGTGTGTTTAAATCTGAGGAAAAGATGTTGAATTTGCTTTCCTAACATGAGATCAAATTAAAATGAGAGAACAATAATTTTAATAGAAGGATAACACAAGGTCAAGCCAGCGGTAGAACTTAATAGAAATCAGATGGCATAGAATAAAAGGGTTAGTTTTTACTATAAATGTGTTGTTTTCTCAAATTACTACTGAGATTATTGGAATTATATTTGTGTTAATTACCATTTGAAAAAGTTGCCAGTAAAACAACACAGTTGTAGCATGACAAGCCCTTTTTATAATTCGGAGGAAAAATGTAGCAGGATCATAACTGACTTTTTAATATCTGATATTTTATGAATTTATGAGTGGATTGTAAAAGAAGTTGTGAGAGTTTTTTAACTGCATCTTATAAGTGTGTGTGTGTGTGTGTGTGTGTGTGTGTGTGTGTGTGTGTGTGTGTGTGTGTGTGTGTGTGTGTGTTTGGTGGGGGTTTTAAATGTAAATCAAACCACATTATTTGCTATAGAATCTGTGACAACTGCTTGAACTGAAAAAAGTACCCACAACTAATATATACATAAGTGATGATATCTCAACCTGATATAATGTAGGAAATTATGTAATACCCAGATTGAAAGAGAAAAGAAAGTTTCCAGAGTCTGAGTCTGCTTGATTGAAATATTGTGTAAAGTGCACTGAAGTAGGCTTTTGGAAAACCTCCTGCTCCTCCTGTCAGATGTGAATTTAGGTGCTTGAATGAGGCTGTGCAGTTATATGAGACGTCCTATTAAACAAGGGTCAGAAGTCTATGCCAACTTTTATTTATTCAATTGTTGATTTCAATATTTATTTATATTTATTTGTATTTATCCATATGGCAGCTGAGGTAATTAGAGCTTGATCAATCATGGAATATTTTTCTGTGTGGATATAGTAGAGGAAAAAATGAAGCAATTCTGATACTGGGAAACCTGTGCCTTTTTTCTAAAAAGGATATTCATATTCATACTTGTCTTTGTTGATTGTGTATTTTTATCAAATGGTAGAAAACACAAAATCTTAAAATGTTCTTATGCACAAGTTTATTCATGAGAAAACTGCCTTTGGACACAAAGTATCAATTTACCACTAAAATCACAGTGAATTACAGTAACCAATAACAAATATGTCAGTAAATTGGTTATCATAGCAACATTCAAAGTGGTGCTGTATTTTACATTTATATTTAATAATTTCATTGCACTCATTTTTAATCCAGAAACAACCGAATTTCGGGGATCATTATGTTGGGAGCTGATGAATTATAATGTTGAATTGCACTTGTGCATCAATTAATGGGACAACAATTGCATCAACGTCACATGCTGCTAAATCACCGATTTTTTACAAGAGATTTTAATTGCTTAATGTCCAGCTGCCCTATAGCTATAGAAATTTTTTCCATGATAAAAAATTAGAACTGATAACTGCATCACATTTATTATATGTAATTTACTTTTTATGTAATGATTTTGTAGAAGTTGCACTTTTTTATTTTGTCATGTTTTATATTGTACAGGTTATTTAAGACAAAGACCAAGAGCATAAAGGTTCATAAAGGATGTATATTGGTTGTTAAATCTGTATTTTTAAATAACTGTTATACCATGCAATCTACACACTGGAATCTGTCTGCTGTCTGTCCTTCTTTCCAGTCACGTTGTCTTTCACCTGTTTTTCCCTTCTTCATCCCTTATTTACTTTTCTCTATTTTTTCTACTTTTTACTGTTATTCATGCTTTTTATAACGAAGACAAACCTTTTAATAAATAATGCATTTTGGAAAGTACCATTTGAATAAGTTTTGTTTTATTGGTGTATGTACATCATAAAAAAAGTTTCTATTTTAGTTTTGTCTATGTGGTGTTTTTAATATCCTAAAAGACAAACCAAGTGCCAATTCATGGCAACAGCATTACTGAGTATTTTTTTCTGAAAACGTGTAGGTTACGACTGTAACCTCTGTTCCCTGAGAACAGGGAACAAGACACTGCATCGGTTGATGCTCTCATTTAGCTTTCACCTCCAAACTGTACATTCTTCAACTCCCCTTAGGATTACGTGGAGGAAGAATAGCAACCATTTTTAAGAATCTTATTTTGTAGGTCCTTGTCACCTTTTTTTTTCTTTTGGACTCAGCTTGTTGGTATTTGGTCGGTCGAATCCGATACTAAGTGTAGTAATCTACCACCCACATAAATATAACAAACATTTTATAAAAGTGTTTTCCGATTTCCTGGCTAGGATCATGACAGATTATTTTAAATGCTGGTGTGTTTTTAACACACGTCTGTTCAGGGCCAGCTCTAGCCCTTTGGTTGCCCTTGGCGAGATTGATTTTTTCTTCTGCTTATATTAATATAATTCAGTCTGGTAATAGTTACAGTATTTGGCTAACCTTGACACAGAACAATTACTTTCTTCTTTCATTTCCACCTGTGCCAACATTCTTAATACTGTTGCGCCACAAAAAGTTAGGTGTCTCAGATCTAAATCTGAGCTATGGTTTAGTGCAGGAGAGCTGAGCGCAGGTGGAAAACAGACAGGCTCCATGTGTCATAAAGGCTGATCTAACTGGGAGGCTTCACGAGAGGCCTGTATGACCAGACTCAGGAGGCCGAGTAATCATAGTGACCTTCAGTGAGGGGAGCACATGGCCTGCCAGGTAGGTAAACCAGGCTGTGGGGTAGATAAAATAGACCACTTCAGTCATGCTAGGGCGCAAGCTCACTTTCATAAGCTGCCTAATTCGTGGGAACTCAGCCCCAGGATGACCTGATAAGGCCAGCTGCCCAGTCCTGGGGCTCAGTCTCGGAGCGGCCTCTTAAGTTTTCTTAGGTAAGAAACTGACTGCCATGGACCAGTAAGGTTGGGGACTGAGCTACATGGTGGCCTGATAAGGCCAAACGCCTGATATTGGGTCTTGCTAGTAGGGTTGGGCCGATGGTCGATATCATCGTGATTGCATCGGCTAAACATCGTGCCCCCCCGTTTCCATGGTGACACGTTATGCGTGAAATGTGATTCACCACCGCCAAAATAGCGCTCTATTGCACATTTAGCGCTTTTATTTCAAAATATTTTCTTAGCTTGTAACTTGCTTACCATTTCATGATGACAAATGTGTAAGTGAGTTTGTTTTGTCGTTGTAAAAAAAAAAGAAAAAAATCTTGATCTGTAACGTGAGATGGGTGCCGTGTTTGGGCCGCAGATCAGACATTTCTGTCTGTTGGATGTATTACAGTGTGGGGATTCATCAGTTTCTGCCGAAATACATGAAAGTAAGTGTCACAGTCCTCCGTCTGCCTCAGTCTGTCTTGTCTTCAGCACTACACTTCCCATGAGCCTCTCGTCTGCACATCTGAACTCACTCCCTCATCAGCCTCCCGTTCAGCATCCTGTTCATCTGTTTCACCTGTTTTCACCCCATTATGTTTGATTCTTCTGTGTATTTAGTTTCCTCAGTTTTACTCTGTCTTTGTCGGTCAATGTTGAATGTTACCCGGTGTACCCCGTCTTCCTGCCTGTATTCTTATTAAATATATATCTTCATTGTGACTCTGGAGTCCTCCAGTTCCTTCTGCCTGCTCCACACCCGTGACAGATTGACCGACCCTTGACAGTGACAGCATGGGGCTACTCCTAACCCTGGCTCTCACCACCCTCAACATATTCCAAGACGGACGCTCATCTGAGGAGTATGTCGGCAGGTTCCTGGAGCTCTCTGCTGGGGTAAGTTGGTCAGATGACGTCCTAAAGTCAGACTTTTGGCTGGGTTTGGACGATCATCTGTACCAGCAAGCCCCAGCAGCAGCGTTTCCTGGAACCTTCGCCGAATACCTGGACCATGTGTTGTGGTTGAATGGGTCAGCCTTCACCGTTGGTGAGGCTGAAGATGACAGCACCACTCAACCACACACACCCACCGTCATCACCACACCTGTCATCATCACCCACCGGTCAGAGCCCTCTTTACTGCTGGTTCCGTCCAGCCCTCCCGAGTCAGGTCTCCCCTCTCCGCTGGTTTCGTCCAGCCCTTCCGAGCCTGAACTCTCTCCTCCGCTGGTTCCGTCCAGCTCTTCCAAGCCTGAACTCCCCTCACCGCTGGTTCCGTCAAGCCCACCCGAGCCTGAACTCCCCTCACTACTGGTTCCGTCCAGCCCCATCCAGCCAGCGCCAGAGACCGTCCAGACCGTCCCTCCAGAGACCGTCCAGACCGTCCCTCCAGAGACCGTCCAGCCAGAGACCGTCCAGACCGTCCAGCCAGAGACCGTCCAGCCGGAGACCGTCCAGACCGTCCAGCCAGAGACCATCCAGACCGTCCAGCCAGAGCCCGAGACCGTCCAGCCAGAGCCCGAGACCGTCCAGCCAGAGCCCGAGACCGTCCCTCCTCCCGTCATGCAGCCGTCAGCCCTTCCGTCTGCCAGCTCCCCTGACCCAGCCTGGTCGTGGGATCCCCGGTTTTCGCCTCCCAACTCCTCCACATGGACACTTCCTCGGCCCCCGGTCCCATTGGCTCCCCCGTGGCTCATACCTCCCTCAGCTCCTCCATGGTCCCTCAGTCCACCAGCTCGGCCAGGCTCCCTCTGTCCTCCGGATTCCCTCCACTCCCTCGTCATCCTCCCCTCACCTATGGACTTCCTTCCTCTGGCTCCGCCCCATTATGTCACCCCTCCGGTTCAGTTGGACTCCTCACTCCCTCCAGTCATCCGTCAGCCCTCACTCCCTCTGGCCTCACCGTGTCCCTCCGTGCCCCTGTCGTCACCTTGGTCACCTGAGCCTGTGTTATCACCATGGTCCCTTGGTCCCTCGTCAGCACCCTGTCTCGTCAGTCGCTCAGCTTCACCCTGGTCTCCTCTCTCACTTGCTCCGCCCCTGTCAGTCGGCCCCCTGGTGTTGTCAGCCCTGTCTCCTTCAGCTCCACCAGGAGTCCTCCCTCCATCTGCTCCCCCCTGGTCTCGCCCTCAGTCTGCTCCGCCCTAGTCTCGCCCTCAGCCTGCTCTGCCCTGGTCTCGCCCTCAGCCTGCTCCGCCCTGGCCACGCCCTCAGCCTGCTCCGCCCTGGTCTCGCCCTCAGCCTGCTCCGCCCTGGCCACGCCCTCAGATTGCTCCGCCCTGGCCACGCCCTCAACCTGCTCCGCCCTGGCCACGACCCGCTCAGCCCTCAGATCGTCCCCCCTCCTTCCTCTGTTCTGCGGCATGAGGTCACGCCTCCCAGGAGGGGGGAGTTCTGTCACAGTCCTCCGTCTGCACCTACCCCGTCTTCCTGCCTGTATTCTTATTAAATATATATCTTCATTGTGACTCTGGAGTCCTCTAGTTCCTTCTGCATGCTCCACACCCGTGAAATAGAGTTGACTTCATAATCATTTAAACTGTGTCTCTCTGATATGAATAAAAACCGTCGTCAAATATTTGAATGGGTTGTTATTTCTGCTTCCATAGACACCATTCTGTATTTTACAAACTAAAAATGTATTGTTTTGCTATTATATATATATATACTGGTTTTTAAATGTCTGAAACCTAAAATAAATATTATGTGGTTAAAAACACTGAACAATATAGTGATGACGAGGGCTGCGCGCGTCCGTCTTTGGCTCAGCGCCAGCCATAACGCGAAAGCACGCAGTTTGAATCTGGCAGTTATATCACAGTACATTCGCTCCATAGACTCGCTTTGTGCTCAGCTGCTGCAGAGCGTGCCGAATTCGAAATTTCTGATAAGATATAGAAGAAAATATTATGTGGAAAATGAGAATATTAAGAAAATACCCCCTCCCCCGACTCCCTCCCGATATCATCGTCCATCGCGATGTTTCACTGACATCGTCTGATGCCAAATTGATAGACATCGCCCAACTCTGCTTGCTAGCTGGCAAAGATTACCCACGCTGTTGGGGGTTTGCCTTTTGGGAGGCTTAAACGGCTAACCATACAGTGGTAAATCCTTTTTGGCTGATTATAATTGGGACTCACCTACAGAGAGATCCACTGAAGCCAATTGTCTGATTGGCCAGTGAATTTATTAGCCAAGCACGCCATGTTGGTGCTCAGGGTCAGGGAGGCCTGCTAAGGCCAGTGCCTGACCGTCAACACTGCTGGCTGTATACCTTGTCACTTGAAACTCACTTTGAGAATTTGAGAGGCCCACTAGGCCTGAAACAAGCCAGTGCTGTCAGCCATATCAACCCACCCATACTGTTGGGGACTCACTTTCAAACACAACACAGTTGGGAAACATACTACACCAACACAAATATTGGGGCCACCCACACGAGGCCTCTTGAGGCTGGCTACATGAACGAAGCTATAACGTATGTCCCAAACCATTGGGACTCTTTTCCGAGCAGGCTAAGGCCAACCACCCGAGGCAAGCTGGCCTAAGGAGCCCTTTTTGGGGGCTGCCCGTCAAGGAGGCCTGCTGAGGCCTACTACTTGACAGCACAGCCTTCATTGGCAGATAAGCTGTTTACACAGCTCCTACAGTATCCTGGGACCTAACCACATTGCCCATGGCAGTGTACTCGGCAAAAACACAAGGGCTGTATAACATAGGAGTTAGGAGTATTACCGCCACCTACCGTATAAAATGATGATCCATATATAAGGCGCTCCGGATTATAAGGAACACTGTCATTTTTTGAGAAGATTAAAGGCTTTTAAGTGCACCTTATAGTGCGGAAAAATACGCTAATTGAAAAGCATATGTACAGCGCGCATCTTCCTCTGCTTGTAAACAGAAAGTTTTGCGCTTCCAGCTATATCAGCACATCATCTTATACGGTAG